GAGCCTATAGGATATTGCGCATGCGCGACTGAACGAATCACTCCCCGAGACGACTCGTTCTTCCCGAGTCACATTAAAGATTCGTTCAAAATGAACGAATCGTTCAAGAACGACCCAACACTAATTTAAACCAGCACAGATTCGGCTACATAAGGAGCTTAAAATATCATCTTGTTGTGATGTTGGGTGCCAGAATCAACGTAATACAGCCTCAAATTAGAAATTTGAACGCATATCTGCTGCCACTGCCAGACAAAAAAAACGACGACAGCGGTGGTTAAACGCGATAAAACGAGCAGACTAGACAGAAACGATCGTCAAAAATGCTCGTGTTTGCAGCGCACACTTCTTATCAGAAAAGGTTAAATAAAGTATTGTCTTTTGTTGTTATGACTATGTCATGCAACCCTCTACATTGCGAGTAAATCACTCACATATGCGACTAAATCTTACTCTGGGCGACTAAATAATGTCTAACATTAGCCATTGGCTAATAAATTCTTAGATTTTACACGCCAGTGTGTGTGTGAGAGGCGTTCAACACAGATTTTCGCTCGATAAACACGCTGACTGAACGCTTGAGTGTTTCGCTCTCTGTCAAGCGATCTGTACTATTTGGATGCGCTCAATGGATCATGTCATGTACTCAATGGATGCGCAGTGTGTAGCACGCAGCGCACCTGTATTTGCCGTACCGTAAACTAGTGTGAGGGCGCACGACTCGCCGTCGCTTTACTGATAGCGCTGTGTTTCTCACACATGCAAAGAGAGAGAGCGAGAGTCTTGCATACCATGCTGAATCGACGTGCTACATGTAAACCATATTCTTTGTTGTATTTTCCTGTCAAAATAACAGTTAATTTAAAATGTATTCAGCTTTTAAGAACAAGCAGAAGATATGCTTTCCTGCTCTGCAAAATCTTTTGAGGAGATTGATGCTGAATATCTCTCTGGAGATGACTCTGATTAGAATCATCTCTTTTATATAACATATTAATTGCTATCTTTCCTGCCTATTGACTGAAAAACAAGTAATGGCATGGATATACAGCCACAACATCAAGGCTCAGAGAAGTCTGAATTAATTAAATATTTTCCAATGAAATGGAAGTAGCGACAGACTTCTGTTTTGTGATGGACAATTATTACGATGTCAAAACATAAAAAAAACAAAAAACATACGCACAGATAAATTGTTCTCAATAAGATGCATAACATGCATTTAGAAAACTGATAAGGTACATTTTCATTTCATGCACTGCCTTTAAACCTACAGTAGGTGGAAAACTGTAGTGTGTGGTAGTTCAGGGCAAAAAAAGACAAATATGAACGTGGCCTGAATATTTATAAATGGTAGATTGAAACATGGCGGTTAAAACGTCACTCAAAATGTCAAGAGGTATTCAAACTATTTGCATATAACTTATGTTTGAGAACTGCAAGATGGAAAATCAAGAATTAATTACAATAAATCAAACCATTATAAGATATAAACTGAAGCTATGGACTTTAAGAGCACGGTGACGAAACTCCCATAACTGCAGTAGTAAAATGAATCTGAGGTATTGCGTACAATTTCACCACTGCTCAGAACAAACCATATGGACATACGCCTCTTTAAAATGGCAGAAAACTCAAATGCGCCCAGACAGTAACAAAGCAATGACATGGCACCCATGTCAGCAATGATCATAAAACACACATCTTAATGTCTTTTACCCGCAGCTTCCACACAATAAATCAAAGCAGGGCGGAATCACTGCCAGCTCTGAGAACACATTGATAACTGCTGGTTTTGGTAACAAGCTGAGCTATTAACACTAGAACCGCCAGGGGTCGCTGTATACCTAAAACCGCCAGCGAGTAAATTTTACCCACGCACATGACAGCAGTTTCTGAATGGCTAAAGAACATATTATTTCACTGTATTATGCTACTGTCTTCACAAAGAGGTGTCTAGAGTCATGAAATGATTATGTCTAGTCATCAACTATATTTTTGTCCTGTTGTTTTATGTTCAAAACTTTTTTATGCAGGCTACACTAGTCACTTTTCATAACGGTCAATATTAAGCTAAACAAGCCTGCAATGACAACGAGAATTAGAAGGAAGTAAATACATATTTAGGTGGTGTAACGGGCTATTATAATACAGCGTTTCCCTGCCATTATATTAGGGGGGCGGCCCGTCCCCCCAACGGCACCACCCGCCCCCCTTGAAGGTCAAGTTAATTTTATTTAATTATATTTTCTCTATAGCACCAGATCACAACAGAAGTCATTTAAAGTTACCTTTCCGATAGAACGGGTCTATACCTTGTTCTTTTATTAAACAAACTAAATAGCCGTATGTTATTTATCTTATTTACACGACGGCATGTCATTTCGGTCTCTACGTTATTTTGTTTACTAACAGTTACTTGTACTGAAGCGTGCGTGAAGCGCACGGTGGT